ATGTGCGCGGCGCTGAGGCGAGAGCCACATTTTGAAAAAGACCCGCCCTCATCCAGTGAAGCTCTTGCAATTTGTTACAACGAATGTGCGCGGCGCTAAGGCGAGAGCCACATTTCCAAAACGACCCGCCCTCAATCCATGAAGCTTTTGCAAAGTTAAAAACGAATGTGCGCGGCGCTAAGGCGAGAGCCACATGTTGAAAACGACTCGCCCTCAATCCATGAAGCTGAGTGTGCGCGGCGCTAAGGCGAGAGGCACATTTTGAAAAGGGCCCGCCCTCATTCCGTGAAACCCTTGGACATGTTAAACACGAATGTGCGCGGCGCTAAGGCGAGAGCCACATTTTGAAAACGACCCGCCCTCATTCCGTGAAACCCTGGAACATGTTTCAGACGAATGCGCGCGGCGCTAAGGCGAGAACCACATTTTGAAAACGACCCGCCCTCATTCCGTGAAGGTCCTGAACATGTTAAAAACGAATGTGCGCGGCGCTAAGGCGAGAGTCACATTTTGAAAACGGCCCGCCCTCAATCCGTGAAACCCTTGCAAATGTTTAAAGCGAATTCGCGCGGCGCTAAGGCGAAACCACATTTTGAACACGGCCCGCCTTCCATCCGTGAAACTATTGTAAGTTTTTGCAACGAATGTGCGCGGCGCTAAGGCGAGAGCCACATTTTGAAAACGACCCGCCCTCCATCCGTGAAGCTGTTGTCACTTTAAAGTTTCAGAGTCATACATGGTGGGGAAGTCTCAGTCGAAACGCCCAGCCGCCCTAAAAACTTGCTTCGGGGTGCGACAGGGAGAGGTTATTTATAAGAAGAAGGAATGGCGAAGCAGTGGGAGGACACGAGGGAGGAGAAGGAGGAGGTGGAGGAGGACGAGAAGGAAGAGTGCGAGGAGGACGGGGGGGAGGAGGAGGAGGAGGAGGAGGAGGAGGAGGAGGAGGAGGAGGAGGTGGAGGTGGAGGAGGAGGAGGAGGAGGAAGAGGAGGAGGAGGAGGAGGAGGAGGAGGATGAGGAGGAGGAGGAGGAGGAGGAGGAGTTGGAGGAACTGGATGAGCTGGACGACCTCTCGGGGCTGCCTGCTCCGCGTGCTGCCTGCCCTGTGGTCCAAGTTGGCATCCTCCGGAGGAGAGCCAGCCTGTGGGACCGCGGCTGACGAAGGAGGAGAAGAGGGTCCAGCGCCTCCAGAACTCGCACTACGGTTATTTCGCAAAGGCCCCACGTCCACGACGACGACGACGGCGACGGCGACGGCGACGGCAGCGGCGGCGGCGGTGGCGAAATCCGGGTGTCGGAGCGTTGTAGGCGTTTCGGAGGTTTTTTTCCACCACAGCTAGACGCGGCTCGAACATCTGGCCAGTGTGGACCCAGGTGGGGTCGATTCTGAGCGTTCCTCCCTCCTCCCCACCCCCTCCCCCTCCCCCTCTTCCTCTTCCTCCTCATCTTCCTCCTCGGTCTCCGAATTCCTCTACTTAGATTCCTTTTTTCCCTTGGTCCTCATCGTCTCCCCCCTCCTCCTTCCCCCTTCTCCTCCACCCTCGGACCACTTTCGGGTCTGAGGTCTGGGCGGAACGTTCTCGGAGAGGCGCAGCTGCTGAAGAGTTGTTCGACCGAGTCTTGAACATCATACTTCTCATCAGCATCATCATCGACAGCATCTTAAATCATAGTTGTCATCAGCATTGTCATCGGCACTCTCTTAACACATGCTCATCACCACCATTGTCATCAGCAAGGTTTGATAGTCATGCTCGCCATCACCATCGTCACCAACAGCGTCATCAGACGAATGCATGTCATCAGCATCGTCATCAGCAGCATCTCGACACCAATGCTTGTCGTCACCATCGTTACTGTCTTGAAACACATGCTGGTCACCACCATGGTCACCGACAGCGCGTTGAGAGTTGTCATCGGCATCGTCATCGGTATCATCTTCAGGCTGATGCATGCCATCTTCATCGCCATCGACAGCATCTTGACGACCATACTCGTCATCAACGTCGTCATCGGCACTGTCTTGAAACACATGGTTGTTACCGCCATCGTCGCCGGCAGCGCCTTGATCACAACACTCGTCATCATCATCATCCGCATCATCATAATCCTGTCCGTAGCTGTTTCCAGGCTCAAGCTTCGAGATAGAGCAGCCGTACCGTAGAGCAGAAGATGCCCCGCGCGCTTCCTATGAAGGAGAGTAAGATGAGCAGCCGTACCGTAGAGCATATGATGGGCAACCGCGGTTGGAAGAGATCAGGGGTGGGGCGGCGCTTGCGCGGCAAGCAGGCGCCGCCCCCTGATTTCGACGCGGGCGCCTATGTCGAATGAGGAGAAGCGGAGGAAGAACAAAGAGAGCCAGCGGAGGAGCATAATGAGGAAGGCGCAGGCGAAGGCGAAGAAAGCGAAGGCGAAGGCGAAGGCGCAGAACACGATCATGAATAAACCCCTGAAAATTCGAGTTCGGACTTGCTGCAGAAGGTCCACAAGGCGACAGGGGCCAGGGAATCGTTTGTGAAACCCTACACCTTCAAGAAGCTCACTTTCATTCCTGGCACCCAGACGGACGAGGGGACCGTTGAGAAGCCGTCCAGGCTGGACAACATGAAGAAGGTTGTCTCAGATCACCCTTACGTACCTGTTCCGCTGGAACGCGGCGCAGGCTGGTTTCCAGCGCCTCTCATTGGACGCGCAGCGTTTCGACTCGATTGCTGCGTCGCACGGCATGCCCGCGCACTGCGGCTACCCTGTCGTTTTCGACTTGACGCATGCATTGCGGGGCGCCAAATCATACGAGCCCGACTTCGCAGAGTTGGCTGTTCTTCCGAACAACAAGCTCATGTGCCCCGTGGTGCCCGCGCAGATGGCGGAGGACGACGTCACGGGCAGAGACAGAGAGAGAGAGAGAGAGAGAGAGACAGACAGAGAGAGAGAGAGAGATAGACAGAGAAAGAGAAACCAGAGAAAGAGAGAGAGAGAGAGAGAGAGAGTGTGAGAGAGAGAGAGAGAGAGAGAGAGAGAGAGAGAGAGAGAGAGCGAGAAAACATGACACCGCACAAATAAAGAGAAATGACAACGAGAGAGGTATACAGAGGGAGTCGCAAGAAGAGGTTCCGATAGGTTTTCTTCTTCAGAAAGAGCACGCATAAAGCCGCCAGGCCCCCTTTGCGCTCCGAGCCCTCGTCGCCCCCCCCCCCCCCGCCTTCCCTTCGCGATCCTCCTCCTCCTCCTCCTCCTCCTCCTCCTCCTCCTCCTCCTCCTCCTCCTCCTCCTCCTCTTTCTCCTTCCGAGGCGGAGACCGCTGCGTGGCGGGTGGCGAATTCCATCGCATTCCTCCCTGGGCAGTGGAGGGGGGGGGAGGGGGGGCCCAGCGCCTTCGTCACTCGCGCTGCACTTCGCCGAAGCCCTCGCCAGGGCCCTCGTCAATTACTTGGATCCCCGGGGACTATTGGCAATCTGCAATATGTTAACACCATTACCCTAGGACGCGTCGGCGGCAAATCAAGCGCGCAGGCGCGCATGATTGTAATTTCATATTGTGCTCGATGTGCTCCTCCATCTCCCCAGGCACGAGCGGCGTGCGTTTTTGTTCCCAACCATCCTGTGGTGTTGGGGCCTCGCTTGGAAGAGACAGCTCCCCGCGTTCTCCTCCCGCTTCCTTCCTCCTCCTCCTCCTCCTCCTCCTCCTCCTCCTCCTCCCTCCTCTCTCCTCCTCCGTCCTCCTCCTCTTCCTCCGTTCCTTCTCATTATATTTAGCTCCTCCCTGCTGCGTCCCGAGGCCCGTCGAAAGGGCGGGCCAGGCGTTTCGCCTGAGACTTCCTCACCGCTTACGACCCTGAAAGTTTTAAGCCGGCGCCAGTTTCACACATGGAGGGCGAGTGGTTTTCAAGATGTTGCTCTCGCCTTAGCACCGCGCGCGCTCGTTTTTGAATTTTGCAAGAATGTCACGGATGGGTGGCGGATCGTTTTCAACATGTGGTTCTCGCCTTGGCGCCGCGCACATTCGTTCTAAATTTTTGCAGGAGCTTCGCTGATTGAAGGCGGGTGGTTTTCAAAATGGTGTTCTCGCCTCAGCGCCGCGCGCATTCGGTTCGAACGTGTGCAAGAACTTCGCGGATTGAGGGCGGGTGGTTTTCAAAATAATGTTTTCGCCGTGGCGCCGCGTACATTCGTTTCGAACATGTGCAAGAGGTTCACGGATTCATGGCGGGTGGTTTTCAAAATGTGGTTCTCGCCTTTGCGCCGCGCGCATTCGTTGTAAACGTTTGCGAGATTTTCACGGATGGAGGGTGGCTCGTTTTTAAACTGTGGCTCTCGCTCCGGTACCGCGCACATTCGTTGTAACAATTTGCAATAGTTTCACGGATGGAGGGCGGGTGATTTTCGAAATCTTGTTTTCGACTTGGCGCCGCGCGCATTCGTTTCAAACTGTTTCAAACATTTTGCATGTTATCATGGGCTTACTTATCAAACATGGTTTTCTGAGCGGTTCATGATTGTCAGGGCGCAACAGTTACATGTATTCGCGGTCTTGAAGTCCCAGGACTGGCGTTCTGGTGCGGCTCGGGATCGCTAAGACGCAACAGTCAGGTTTGTAGCGTTGAAATCTTGAGAATGGTGCTTTGGCACGCTTCAAGATGTGTTCACACAGATGTCCCCCAACGGGACAATTCCCTCAGTGGAAATGAGCCCTTGTATGGGCCTCAGAAGAGGCATCTTGGAGGGAGGGTGTATTCAAATATCGTTGATGAGTCCTGGGTTTGCACCGGTCTTCCTCCTCCTCCTCCTCATCCTCCTCCCCCTCCTTCTCCTCCTCCTGGTTCCTGGTTCCTGGTGGCTGCATGGCCGCAGTGACGAAGCCTCCTCCTCCTCCTCCTCCTCGTCCACCTCTTCCTCCTCTGCCTCCGCCTCCTCCTCCTCCCCCTCCCCCCCTTCGCTCGCCCGGCCCATCTCCCTCCCTTCCTCCCTCCCTCGCTTTCTCCTCCTTCGGCTCCGGGCCCGAGCCGCCGCCCGCCGGCGCGCCCCTCGCGCGCGCGTGCCCGGCGTGGGGCTGCGGGCGGGCGACCCTTCGGCGGGCCTGGCATGATGCAGGACGCGCCCCGCCTCGCGCCGGTCTCGGCGTGGAAAGGGGGGGCCCTGGGAGCTGGGAGGTTGGATTCGGTATCGGCGCTGGTGTATCCAAAGACCCCCCCCCGCGGCGTGATGAGAATCACGACGGGAGGTTTCGTGACGTCTTCGGGCTCTGGGGGTCCTCGATGGCTCGGGGACCGTCCAGAAGCGACCCCGGATGAAAAGCCTTGCCGGGGGCATTGGTCCAGACCTTTTGGGGTCGACGTAGTGAAACAAATCATGATGTCGGGGGTCGGGGATATCCGTGGTCGAAATCCAGCCCGGTCCTGCTGAATCTGGCTCGATGCCCCGCAATTATTTTCAATATTGCGTCGCAAGCAAGCAAGGCAGCCAGGCGCCTTCATTGCATGGCGCATAAGCAGTACACAATAGTCGACTGACGCATACGAAGCATGCTGACATATTTAGCAACCGTATGGAAACACACACACACACGCCGTTCCCTGTAGTTTCGGGCGTCCGCGCTTGCGCTTGCGGTACCACTGCCTTGGTCTGTTCCTTCCAGACTCACACACGAGGTCACGCAGGATGTGACCATCGGGGAGTTGTGATATCTTGCTGTGAATTTCTTGGTGGTCGCTCAGTAGGCGTGCGCGTGCACGTGCTCTCACCTCAACATTTGTAAATGTTGACATGTACGCATGCGGTGTTTCCAAGATTGCGTGATCCCCCTTGATCATTTGCATAATGTGGTTTAGCAGCCCATTGATCGGAGTTAAGTTTTTTTGGCCGATCCGACAAGTCCAGGGACCTACAACACACATATATACATATATATATATATATATATATATATATATATATATAAAAGTCAGACACATCCACCTACTCGTATATACACACATACTCAGCAGTATATATGTAATGCAGATACACACCACCGTGGGCTTGTTTTCTGCCATATGGGGTTGTTTGGGTTGCTGTCTTGGCGGTAGGTCACAGAACGCATTGCATCTGCCACTGATCACACGCCGTCGTCTGCGAACTATCACGTGGGCGTGCCTTTCTATGTGCAAGGGGCACGCTCAGTTGGTGTATACGTTGGATTGGTGAATCACTATATTTGAAGGGGCGAGTGGGTGGGGGGAGGCGGGCGTTCTTTATCACACCCCTGGGTTGCCATAGATAGACGGGTCGATCGCACACATTCTCGACTGAATGAGGCTCCTTTCTGCGCGCATGCTTGAACGACATTGCCCGTGCTTGGTGCAGGCTCGCAGCTGCGGCGTTGGCGAGTATGAGTTTGTCCATGCGTATGGCAGCCTTCAGCAGTGTATACTCACGGACCCCGTGCTACCCAGGAGTTTTCTCCTAGCAGAGGGGCCCGAGGGAACGTGGTCCAGAGTTTGTCCGCCGCTTGCGGCCGCTGGGGGCCGCTCCCAGCGTGTTGCGCATCGGAGCAGCTAAGCTCCCTCACTGATCCTCCTCCCTCCCTTCCTCCTTCCCTCCCCCTCCTCCTCCTCCTCATCCTCCTCCTCCCCCTCCTCCTCCTCCTCCTCCTCCTCCTCCTCCTCCTCTCCCTCCTCCCCTTCCTCCCTCGCCTCCCTCCTCCCTCGCCTCCCTCCTCCGCCTCTTCTCCACTTGCTTGCCCTCCTCCTCCTCCTCCCTCCTTCTTCGCCTCCCTCCTGCTCCCCCGCCTCCTCCTCCTCCTGCTCCTCCTCCTCCTCCTCCTCCTCCTCCTCCCTCCTCCTCCTCTCTCCTCTTCGCCTCCCTCCTGCTCCCCCGCCTCCTCCTCCTTCTCCTCCTGCTCCTCCTCCTCCTTCTCCTCCTCCTCCTCCTCCTCCTCCTCCTCCTCTCCTCCTCCCCTCCTCCTCCCCCTCCTCGTCTCCCTCCTCCCCTCTCCTCCTCCTCGTTTTCTTCCTCCTCCCAGGCCTTACCCTTCCCCATTCCCAGGACCAGCCGTGCGAAAGGGCGGGGACCGAATTTTGCATGCCGATCGCGCGCTCGCGCGCGGTGCGCGGGCCCCAGGACGACGACGGCGGGCAGCTGCTGTCCGGGAGGTCCTCGGGGCCCCAGACGCTCACGTCGTGAAAGATTCGTACGGGAGGCTTTTGGGCGTTTTGGACCCTTTGGGGCCCTTGCCAGGCCCTGGGACCGTCAAACACGTGTCAGGATGAAGAACCTATCCTGGGGAGAGGGTCGGGACTTCCAGGCACCGCGTGTCGAAGAAAACAGGGCATCGCATGTCTGGGTCAGGAGCCCGTCTTTTTCCTCTCTCGCAATGTCGGTGGTTATTGGTGGGGGGATAGGGGGAGGGGGCTTCTGACGTCACGATTCGCGCCAGCGCTGTCTGGGATTTGCTACGCCTGGCCGTCCGCAGGCGGCGCCGGCGCGAATCGCGACGTTGCCAGGAGGGGGCGCATCCCCGGCAAGGGGCGTTGTCGCGAATCCAACGAAGCGCGCTCCAGGGGCAACGTTGGGGGGGGATAGGCGCAGGGGGGGGACGCATCGACCCCCAATCGCCCTCGGGCCCGATAGCCCTCCCCGCACAGCAGCGTGCGGTTTTGCTGTCGGGGGCCTATCCCCGATCAGTCGGTGATGTATGGCCGATCCCAGGTCGATGTTTGTCCCCCATCAGGTCTTCGGATGTGGAGGCACCTTGAACAAAAAATCGAGGCGGCCAGTTTGTCGCACGTTTGTGCCATTGGAGGCCAGTTTGGGGGTCTGGGGCCGTAACAGCATTCGTTCCAGAGGAGAAAACGGCTCGGGGTCGAGAGGTCCAGAGGTCCAGAAGCCCATGCATCGCAAAGATCGAAGCGCTGGATGTTCGGGCTTATTTGGCAGTCCCAGGACGAAGAAGTCTTGCGCCAGGCGTTCCAGAACGTTCGCAGGGCGTTTCGGAACGCTGTGGAATGGCCCTGGCTATCGATATGCATCTTACAGGCACGCAGGTGCTCAGAGATTCCTGGCACACGTCAGTCGGACGTAATATTCTTCCAGCCGTGTCGTACGTTATCCCAGAGGAGGCCCGAATGCCACCCAGCGTTAAACACATTTTTCGGATCGATGTGTTTCATCGTTTCCCCCCTCCTGGTGCCCTCGCGGGGCCCTGGGACCGTCAACAGACGGCTCAGGATGAGGGAACGAGCCCCAGGGAAAGGGTTGGGGTCTTCCCTGCATGGGAAAAACCAGCACATCCGAATGTCTGGGATCCGATTTTTTTGTTGCTTATCTGCTTTCATCCGCGGTGTTTTCTGTGCGGGCCCAGCCTTCGGATGCCACCTTCGGCCCCCGGGGTTCTCAAACATTGGTCCTGGCCGAGGAGATGCCCCTGGGGAAGTCGCGGGGACCTCCGGGGCCGCGGGTGAAGATCCGTCATCGTCGGGTGTCGGGAGTGTCTCTTCCGGCGGAGGGCGTACCGCGCGCTATGCGCCCCCCCGCCCCCCCCGGCCCCCCCCCCCTCGGCAACGTTGCCCCCGTGTGGTGCTCGCAGGCATATTGGGCACACCGGCACTTGCAGGCCAGCGCGGCGCTCACGGGCTCGTGGTGCTCGCAGGGACGCCGCAGTGCTCTCGCACGCACGCTGTGGCGCTCGTAAGGCCAGAGTGGTGCCCACAGGCGCATAGTTGGTGCTCGCAGGCATACTGCGGCGCTTGCGCGCTTGTGGGACCCTGGCAGGGGCTGGCGTGTTGATGTGCATACACGTGCTGCGCGCAAGCCGCTGTAGTACTGGCAAGGTTCTGTTTCCTTCGCTGTGCGGTCGTCGCAATGACATTGCGCTGCTGGCACATCGACTGGCGCTCGAGCGCGAATCGACACTGGACGTGTCATCAACCCTATCGTTTGGGATCATCCCTTTCCGTTCTCCCCGCCTCATCCCTCCTCCCTCCTCCATTCGTCCTCCTCCTCTTCTCCCTCGTCCTCTTCCTGTTTTCTCCCTCGGCCCAGGGGCGCTAGGGTTTTATTTCGAAGACATTTCGACACCAGGAGATAACGCAGCCCTATCGTTTGGGATCATTTCCCTTTTCTGTCCTTCTGCCTCCTCCCTACCTCCCTCCTCAATGCGTCCTCAATGCGTCCTCCCCCCTCCCTCCCTCCCGCCTCGTCCTCCTCCCAGGCTGCTGTGATGCTCAGCCTGGTTCTCACTGTCTTCGTGCTGGTGCTTGCAGGCCACTGTGGCGCTCGCAGGCACCGCCCTGGCGCTCGCATGCACAGCGTTGCGTAGCGACCGCAACAGCACCACCAGCAAGCGCAGTGTAGAGCTCGCAGGCTCACAGGGGCGCATGCCTCGCGCCCGCAGGCGGGGCACAGTGAGGTGCTCGCCGGTCACTGCGAGGCGTGCAGGGTGGCATATCTGTTGTGCTTGCGCACATGGTGTGCGCAGAGGAATCTGTGGAGCTGCCCACAGCGGAATAATCGTCGTCGTCGTCGTCGTCGTCGTCGTCGTCGTCGTCGTCGTCGTCGTCGTCGTCGTCGTCGTCGTCGTCATCCGCTTTGTGTCCGCACGGGGGGGACAGCGCATCCTCCGACGGGGCCTGGGGGTGCGTGGCGTAGCCCTCCCTGATTGTGCGCGTTCTTCCCAGGAGAAAAATCACCCCTCCTCCTCCTCCTCCTTCTCCTCCTCCTTCTCCTCTTCCTCCTCCTCTTCCTCCTCCTCCTCCTCCTTTCCTCCTCCTCCTCCTCCTCCTCCTCCTCCTCCTCCTCCTCCTCCCTCCTCCTCCCCCCTCCTCCTCCTCCTCCTCCCCCCCTCCTCCTCCCCCCCCTCCTCCTCCCCCCCCCCCTCCTCCTCCTCCTCCTCCTCCTCCTCCTCCTCCTCCTCCTCTCCTCCTCCTCCTCCTCCTCCTCCTCCTCCTCCTCCTCCCCTCCTCCTCCTCCTCCTCTCTCCTCCTCCCCCCTCCCCCCCCCCTCTCCTCCCCCCTCCTCCTCCCCCTCCTCCTCCTCCTCCTCCTCCTCCTCCGCGGTCTGTCCTCTCGCGCCCCCGCTGGCGCCTTGTGGAGCCTGCAGGGTACCAGGGATCTGGGCCGCGGAGACCACTCTCGTCTCCTGGCATCGCTCGGACGTGTGCACTTTTCCTCGGCGAGGACCATCGGGGAGCATCCTTGATCATCAGGCCAAAAATCGCACGCGACACCGAACGTGCACGGGGAACGAGCGTCCGAGCGACGGCAGGGTCTGGGACGTCGTTTCAGGGGTCCAGATCCCTCGCGACGTGAAGAAATGGCGCCGGAAGGTCTTGCTTCATTCTCGGCCTGCGGGATCGTGGCCGTGACCAAACATTACTTTCTGGATCAAGCACTTGTCCTGGAGAAGGGAAATGTACCTCTGGTGGTGTAATCGTTGGAAAATCATTAATTCGAGCGTCTAGGACACAGTATCCATTGAGGAGGGTCAATTGCTCTTCCTCCCCCTCCTGCTCCTCCTGCCCCTTCTCCTCGTTCTCCCCGTCCTTATCCTCCTTCTCCTCCTCTCCTTTCTCCTTGTCCTTTTCATGTTGTTGCCATTTCGCTTGAGCCCTCTCTCCCTCCCCGTGTCCTCGTAGCTTGTGCATGCGTCGAAATTCAGGGGCGATGCCGCGTAGCATCGTCCCGTGTCCTCCTGCTTTGCATTACCCCTCTTGCCGGACCCCCCGAGGCAGCATACCCAAGAAAGGTTTTTATTATGTCTTAAAGCAATCGTATTGCTATTATTTGAATTAGCATCGTTATTTTTATATTTTATTATTATCAGTAATATTAACAACTATGTATTATTATTATCAGTATTATTAGCATTATTCTTATTACTACGATTATTATCAGTATTAATAGTATGATTAGTTGTAGTAGTACTACTTGTATTATTATGATTCTCATCATGGGGGATTATTAGTTATTTATGTTTTTATGTATGTATTTATGTATTTATTTGTTTATTTGTTTGTTTATGTATTTATTTAATTATTTATTTATTTATTTATTTATTTATTATTGTTATTATTATTAGTATTATTATTATTATCATTAATATTATCAGTATTGTTATACATAAAGTGTTTTCCGAATAGCGTTTCGCCCAGGGCTCTCAATATCGGGGCTCAAATACTTGCAGCGTGGGCACTGCCGCAACATCAGGCTGCCAGCCTGTAGGTTATCTTGACATCCAGCGCCGCCTCTGGCAGCGCCAGGACGCCGCTGAGGGTGGGGTGCGTCGACCCCAACCCGCCCGTTCATCGTCGACAGGCGCCCTGTGGCCCTCCCCGCCCAAGTCCGTGGTCCGTGTGGAGTCATCATCGGGGGCCTATCGCTGATTTGTCGGCGATATGTATCGCCAATTCGAACGCGGCGTTTCTCCCTCTGAGCTGGCCCACCCCCCTAACGTTGGGAGCTGGATCGAAGGCCTCAGTGGAAGGGTTCGTCTGCGGTTCCCCGCCCACGTTGGCACACCCCTCACACGTTTCGTGGTCCCCTAGTAAGCTCCACCGAATGCGGGGCCACAACTTGGGCCACAACGCGGTCCTCACAACTGTCCATGGTTGGGTCTTTCGCCCGGATAATTTTGCTTGTTGTCCTCCCCATTCTTCGGGCATCTGGAGGCCCCCGCAGATCTCTGGAGGAATTCTTCGGCTCAGGAGGGCACCGTCGTCCTCGATCGCTTACTCATCCTTGGATCGTGCGGCTTCGCCACCGGGGGCCTGCCGCAGATCTCTCGGCGACGTGCCGTCGATTCTTGGCCGGTGCCCAGCACCCCTGCCGGTGCCGTTCCCCCCCCCCCCCCCCCCGTGCGGCCCCCGCGAAGGTCGTCGAAGATGAGCAACAAGATCCATGGCCACGTGGTCGGTAGGCCTGGGCTCGAGGGCCAGAGGTCCCCAGGAGCGCCGCGGTTGGCAGCGAGAGAGGACGAGCAGGAAGCCACGGCGCGGCCAGCTCGCCCCACCTTCCCGCTCCCCGGGAGGCCCGCTGTGGTCTCCGGGGAGGGCCAGAAAGTCACGACCCGCGACGCAGCAGAAACGCCTCAGGGGTGGGGCTCCGGAGCTCCGCGAGCTGCGCCGTGCAGAAATCCTGCGGCGTCGACGATCGACGCCCGATCCATGCCCTTGTTGCTGCCCCGCACCCTGGGCTCGAGGGGAACACAAACCTCGCGGCTCTGGATGCCAGGATCTCATCCATGCCGCGCTCTGGCCTCTCTTCTTGGGGTCGGGGCGTGAGCAGGGGCATGGAGAGTATGTCCATCGCCTGTGACATCGGAGGTCTGGGAAGCGGACCAGGTCGGGTGGACCTTGCTCGGGTGGCGGCGAAGACCAGGTGGGGATCAACGTGAGGGTGACCTTTGCCAAGGGTTACCTCAGGAGCGCTGCCTTTCGGGCCCCCCCCCCCGAGAACAGGAACAGCCTCCTGGAGGGGGCGCCCCTGGTCTTATGATGTTCCAACCTACTTTAGCCTTGATCACTAGAAACAATTTCGAGCACAGGAAGTACCGAAACTGGAGGGTTTTCACGTGTCGGGCTTGGGAGGCGATAGTCGTTCGGCACTGCTTCGATACTGTTGGGGGGGTCGGACTTATTTCTGGGGGTTGGCCCTCAAATACGATGGGAGCAACATAACCCTGGACGCCCCTTCCCCCTTGCGATCGCTTGGACGTCGTGTGGACCCTGCTCGGGCGGTGGACCTCGTTCGGGGGCCCAGGTCGGGTAGACTATGCTCGGGCGGTCGGGGCGTGACGGGTGGGCGCCACCTCGGGCGGTCCAGGAAGAACCCCAACGGGACCCCTCGGCCCTGGGGCCAAGCAGATCACAAGATGAAACCGGTGCGGCCCCGAGTCAATTAAGACTCCGAGTCCATGCCAGGCTGGAGGAGGAGGAGGGTGCGGAGACGGGAAGGGCAGGGAAGAGGCGGAGGCGCCCGCCCGCCCGCGCCCCCTTGGAGGGGTCTTCTTCTTTCCCCCGAGTCAATTCAGAGCAGTTCTGGGCTATGCAAAGCACTGCGATTGCTCGGCACTGCTTGGCACTGCTTGGCATTAATGTGTGTTGCTTGGCATTGCTTGGTATTGCCTGGCATTGCTGGCAGCCCAGGGAGCAAGACCAGGGAGCCCGAGCAACGCCGCAAGGAATTCAACTTCAGGGGGCCGAGCAATGCCGAGGCCCACCTCGGATAAGGAACGTCGTCTTTCACAAACAGATGATTTTTGAACCCATTCGGCGAAGCCTCCTTGGGGAAACACTGCCGACGACTCGGCACGATGGTTTTTTCTGGGCACTGGAGATCGGCGGCGTGGAAAGAGGGTGCACGAGAGATCGGCGGCGGCACTGGAGATCGGCGGCGGCACTGGAGGTCGGCGCTGGAGATCCTCCCTCCTCCCTCCTCCCTCCTCCCTCTTCCCTCCATTCCTTCTCCTTATAAACAACTTCTCCCTGTCGCACCCCGAGGCCAGTTTTTAGGGCGGTTTGGGCGTTTCGCCTGAGACTTCCTCACCATGTATGATCCTGAAGCTTAGAATTGACAACAGTTTTACACATGGAGGGCGGATGGTTTTCAAAATGTGGTTCTCGCCGTAGCGCCGCGCACACCAATTGCCAGAGCTTCACGGATTGAGGGCGGGTGGTTTTCGAAATGTGGCTCTCGCCGTAGCGCCACGTACATTCGCTTAAAACAATTGCCAGAGCTTCACGGACTGAGGGCGGGTGGTTCTCAAAATGTGATTCTCGCCGTAGCGCCGCGCACATTCGTTTAACACATTGGAAGGGTTTCACGGATTGAGGGCGGATCGTTTTCAAAATGTGGCTCTCGCCTTAGCGCCGCGCACATTCAGTGTAAATATTTGCAAGGGTTTCACGGACTGAGGGCGGGCCGTTTTCAAAATGTGACTCGCTTCAGCGCCGTGCACATTCTTTTTAATCATTCGCAAGAGTTTCACGGATTCCCCTGATCAGCGTAGCAGAAATGGTGTTGTGGAAAGATTCAGGATTATGAGGGTGCAAGAGTTGCGTTGAGTCGCGGTGTTGAACTCCCAAGAAGGGCGTTCTGGTGCGATTTAGGATAGTCAAGACGCAACGGTCAGGTTGATCTGTGGCGTTGGAATCCCGAGAGTAATCTTTTGGCATGTATCAGGGTCTTCAAACGGATGTCTTCCAACGAGGCAGTTTCCTCAGTGGACATGAACGCTTGTAGGGGCCTATGAAGAGGCAGCTTGGAGGGAGGATTTCTTCCAACATCGCTGACGACTCTTGGATTTACACTGGTCCCCTTCCTCCTCCCTCCTCCCTCCTCCCTCCTCCCTCCCGTTTCGCCGCCCCGACTGTGCCTGCGAACGCCGAAGACCCTGTGATGCTTGCTGGTGGCGCAGCACCCGTGTGACGGGCACCAGCGTGCCTGTGAGCGCCCGGCTGCTTGTCGGCGCTGCTGTGCCTAATTATCAGCTCCACCATGCCTGCGGGTAGGCACTGGGCTTGTGCACACCGCCGCGCCCAGCAGCACCCTCATGCGGTGCACCTGGGCCATTCCCGGGGGGCCTCAGGAGGGCCCCCAAACAGTGACCGTCCTCGGAGTTCGTTTTCTTATTCATTGTTTTGCCGATCGGCGCGGGCCCTCGCACCGCCGCTCCCTCCCCCCTGTTGGAGTCAATCTTGGCTGTTTTTGGCGCCTGTTTTGAGCAGGCGGGGTCTCCCCCAGAGGACGCACGGTTTCAAACCGCCGCATTAAGCAGAGCTCCGGAGCCAGACCCCCGCCTCCCCTCCTTCCGCCCAATGTCGAAACGCCTAATACGAAAACGCTCACCTGCGCACCATCGCCACCATCGCTGGCCAGGGCCATCTTGGGCTTCGGGACGGTGCAGACAGAGCTCCTGGCCTCGGCCAAGAGGTCACTTCACACCTCCGGGGGACCTCTCCGGCCCCGTAAGTGGCTGTCTGTTCTTACACTCCGGCTTGGCTCCGACGTGGTTTCGATGCGGATCGACACGGATTTGGCGCGGATTCGTCATGGATCGCGGCGCGACGGGACAGACAAGGCCCCCCCCAAGATGCGACACGGGAGAGGGCGACCGTGCCGTGCCTGGGCCCAGGGTGGCCATGGCCGCGCGGCGGCGGAGTGCGGCGGGCCTCCTGCGCGAGCCGGGCCGCTCCCTGAGCCCTGGCCTTGTGATGTTCCAACCTACGCTAGCCTTGATCGCCAGATAGAATCTCGAGCACCAAGCAAAGCACCGAAGCTCGAGGGTTTCACGTGTCGGGCCCAGGGGGACATTCGTCCGTCACTGTTTCGGCACTCTTTCGACACTTTTCCGGGTGCTGGAAATTGTTTCTGGGACGTGGTCCTTAAGTAGGGGAACGAAAAGTGTCATAAACATAAAAACTCAGAGGTCCGCGCGGTTTTCTCGGATCGACGCTGGACCCCCCTCCCTGGCGCGCGGAGCGCGCCAGGGGCGGCGCCGCCGGGGGGCCCCAGCGCCGATCCGAGAAATCCGCGCGGACCTCCGAGTTTGTATGTTTATGTCACTTTTTGTTCCCCTATTAAGTACGATGGGCGCACCGACCACGGCGCCCGGCCACGGACCTCCTCGGCCCCCGTCCCCGCCGTGAGCCTCAACGGCGGCGGCTGGAAGCACTCGGCCGCCGAAGAGGGGCCCCCCGCCGCCCGCAGGGGCGCCGAGGGCCACCAGGAGCGGGGGGGGGCGCCAAATGTCGAGCAGCGGCGAAGCGGCTCGGCTTGCCTTTAGGCTCAGGTCGGGGCTGTCCCTGTGCAGGAGGAGTATTCAAAAACAGTCGAACAACAAAAAGTCATGGGACGATGTTTTGACAATTGTTCAGCATTTTTGAAGTACGTTTTGGACTATGTTGAACTTATCCTCGAAAATCGGTCTGTAGGGGGACAGGCCGGACCTAATTGTAGGCCAACCCAGGGATGTTCTAAGCGCCTCTCGTGGCCTGCGCGAGGTGTTCTTAGAGCCTGCTTGGCTGAGACTGTCTTGTTCGAACGCATCGGGTCTATGCTCTAAGATCATCGCTGTTGTCCTTAGGGAACAATGTTGGGTGCTAAGATCGGCGGCGAGCGAGGGGGGGAAGCGAGAAGGAGAAGGACTTCTCAGAACCCCTCGCGCCTTCTGAGAAGTTATCAGCGTTTTCGGAGAAGGATCAGACAACTTCTCAGAAAGGCTGCAAGGATGAGCAACCTTCCCAAGGGTTCCCCTTTGCATCCTTGCCTCCTCGGTCCATACTTCGCCACTTCAGTTGGCCGCGCCGCCCCGCTCGAAGAGCTTGGAGATTGGCGTCCACGGCCCTTGCATCCTTATCGCGCATCCTTGCTATACGGGCTGATTGGCTGACTGTACTCCGAGGCGGGGATTTATCCATGACCACCGCCTGGGGGATCGACCTTCGCGGAACTCCACAGGCGGTGGGTATGGATAGAGTCGGGCCACCGGGGGCTAACATCTGTCCATGCCCGCCTCGCACATGCGGTGTACGGTCACACTAATCCTGCCAGGCCAGGCACATCCTGGGCCCAAGAGCGGTGTAACTGCACCTCCCTGGCGGGCCAGCAGGGCGGTGTGCATCGGTTCTGGGTCGAGGGTGGGCCAGGGATGGGCCCAGCCACGGACGGTGTGTCTCGAAGAAGAAAACGCCATAAACATGAACTTGTGGCGCTCCGCGCGGATTTCTTAGATCTGCGCTGGGCCCCCCTCCCTAGCGTTTTTTCTTCTTCTAGTGTCGGTGCCCGGCTGATGCTCTTTTGGAGGAGGAGCCGTCCAGTGACGCCAGGGATCTGCGGCTGCTGAGGGAGCTGTCCCGGGACCTCCGGGAGCAGCTTTGCCAGAGCGTGCGCGAGGCGGTCCGAGAGGAGCTGCAGAGCATGCCGCAGGCCTCTCGGGCAGCGCTCGGGGTGGAGGGCTCTGCGGCCGATGCTGGCGGTCGCACGCACGGGCTGCACCAGACCACCGACATCAAGGACATGGCCAGACGTAACAATTTGGCCACCTCACATGCGACCGCGGACGAGGCGACCCTCAGGGATCGAGAATCAGCCCGCAATACAATACTCCAGGAAGTGTTTCCCCTTTGACAGAGCCTGCTTGTATAGAGAGAGTCTTGCAGTCGCGACCGAAGAGGAGGTCGTCCTCGTAAAATCAAGGGTACCATCATTCGGATGCAACTCCTGGGAGGTCAAATTCTGACTTTGTCCTGGTCCGAAATCGGCCTACTTCCGCTTCGTCCGCGGCCTGAACGGGGCCTGATCGTCTTAAATCCTTCCGACGAAGACCTCCCAGTAGTTGGCTCCTGGCCATCATGTCCTGTGCTTTGTGCACCGCGCTGTTTTCTGGCGTGCCTGCACCATGCTGCTCTCGGAGGCAGTCTGGTGCCCGCTCGGATGATCTTTTTGTCTTCGGTCGCGCCTGCACCTTTTCTGCGAGACGTTCGTTGCTTGATCGGTGCCGCTACGGGTCCGTCAAAGCCCCTGTGTTGCCCCCGCCTCCGTTATTCTACTCCAGCGCAGTGCTTTGGAGAAGGGAACGGAGGAAGCGACATGTGGAGACCGTCGGACAAACCATGTGTTGCGCCCAGCATAGCCTCGGGCGGGCCCAGGACCAGAACGCTCTCAGAGCATTCTAGAGCGCTCTGGAACGGCCGCGGCGCCAGGTACATCTTCCAGAGCCGCTGGATCCCCGACTTGTCACGGTCCGATTTTGTCTCGGCCTTTGCCTCGTCTCACGTCCTATAATGTTTGCCGACGCTGGCTGCGGTGGCCAAGCCTAGAGCTCCTGCCTGTCGCCCCGCTCGCAGTGGTTGCAGCCAGGGCCAGCGGTCGCTGCGAGTCTCTTCGAGTAGGGGGTCGGCTGCATACTTGATTTACTTCCCAGCTGGCTGTATCCGCGAATCTATACAGAAAATGTAGAAAGCATTCTGCGTATCTATCTCGTAGGTTCGACGAGAAACCATCACTTCGGGGGCAAATCGACTCTGCAGTCGATCCCCCCCTGCTCGATCTCTGCTGCCCCCCTGCCCAGACTCCAGGCCTCCCAGATGGGGTCGGAGTAGAGGGGGTCGGAGGATCGCGCCGCATCGCCGGTGTATCGCCGCGACGCACCGGCGAGGCGGCGCGATGTGGAGCCCGATTTTCTCCTCGCCGACGTCGCCGATGCACCGCCGATGTTGACGATGCATCGTTGACGAGTCGCCGATACATCGTCGATGCATCTGCGCTGCGTCGCGATCCCCCGACCCCATCTGGGAGGCCTCGACAACTCCTGCAGCCCTGGCTGCCGCGGACGCCGGATGCCGTCGTTGGCCCTTCCTGCTGGGCCTCCCTGCCTGCAGCGAAGGCGCCTGCCAGCGAGGGCCGACCCCTCGTCGCCGTCGCCGTCGTCGTCGTCGCCGTCGTCGTCGTCGTCGCCGTCGTCGTCGTGGCTCTCGTCGTCGTCGTCGTCGCCGTCGTCGCCGTTGTTGTCGTCGTCGTCGTCGTCGGCGTCGTCGGCGTCGTCGTCGGCGTCGGCGTCGCCGTCGTCGGCATCGGCGGGAGGCAGTCGGGGCACGGCGGAAGCTGCAACGCTGGCGGCCTCGCCGGGGGGAGGGTCGGCGGAAGAGCGGCGGGAGCCGGGCTCCGAGTAGCCATCGGTCGTGGGAAGTATGTATGTTTGGATTCCCAGCTTCCAGTACACTTCAGGCGCCTTCCTACTCCAAGGATCGAGTGGCCTCACCTTTTCCGTCCTCCTCAGGGGGCGGGTGGACACCCAATCTACTTTGAACGCCTTGCTCTTTCATGTTTCTATCGACTTCTTCCGCCCGATAGATAAGAGTGGACCCCGCACGAGAGACGCGCGCTGGCGTGCCCAGAGTCTCGGCTCCCACACGCCAGGGTGGGTCGAGCAGTGCAATGCAGTCGGACTGAGGTATAAGATCGAGGTCGATTCGGGGACGGTACCCTGATCTTCTTCGTGCTGGTTGGGTGTTCTTGTGCATCCTGAAGAGGGTACCCTTGGATGTTCTGTTTGTTATGGCCGACGGTGGGTCTCATGTTCTTGTAGGATGTTCTTCTGGCTGGCCTGGGCCCGACTGTGTGGGGGGGGGAGATTTCTGGGGGCACCAGCTTCTTGGCGAAGTGTGCTCTCAGAAGATTCAACCTTGCAAGGGCGCGGACATGGCGTGTTTCGTGACATCGCACAAAGTGGCGAACAGGGGGTTGAGCGCCAGGTTCGATCTCGTGGCGGATCCGCTGGCGAGGATCTTCCCCCCGGAGCATTCCTGCTTCGCGCCGTGGTACCGCCTCGCCTCGTGGCTCCAGGGGTGTGCAGAGCCCTCCTCCTGCTCCTCTTCCTCCAACCCGCCCTCCTCCTCTCCGTTTCTCGTTCCGACGACCCTTCCGAAGTTTTGGCGTTTGGAGGCATGTTTCGGGACTAAGGACCATCAAATAGTCATCCGCGTTGAGAAACCGGTCCCTGGGCTGGGATCCAGGGTTGCGCGCAGGCCCACGTTGTAAAATAAACACGGCGTCGGAAGTCTGTGCCATCATGACAGACCCGATAGGACATGGCCATTTGAGGAGAGGTCACAAGATTCCGTGCTGGGGCGGTGACACCCTCAGAACGCTGTACACCCATGCATTTTGCTAAGCATGGAACGCTTGATATTGAAACGAGACCCACGTATTGAGCCTGCAGAGCGGGAGTCACGCCGTGCCCAAGGGGGAACATTAATCAGCGCACACTATCTCAACCAGTTAATGTTCTGGGAGATTGCCTCGACACGAGTTCGGTCGACCATTTGGGGTCATCGTGGGTCCCTTCGTGGGCCGTTTTGGTTTTTTTGTTTCTGGGGCTGGCGACATCTTGCGGCCTCCTTTGGGGGCCCAGTGAGTCGTCTGGAGGTCTCATGGAGGCCTTGTGGACGCGCCTCATATGCCATCTTGGGTGGTCTTTGCAGTTTATCCAGCTGTCTTGGACAATGTTGGGTCATCTTGGGACAGTATTGGGGTCTCTTTGGGCCACGTTGAGTTGTGCCGCTTGTCGCATATTTGTGTCGCTCGTGGGCGGCACTTGGGGCCTTCTCTTGGAGCGCTCCCAGGGTCCAAGTAGCACCGAGAAGCTCTTTCGTGGCGTGGCCGTGTCGTTGCATGATTCTTACGTCGCCTATTTGGGTCTTTTGGGATGCCTCTTGGAGCCAGGGGCTTCTTTTGGGCCTCTTTGGGGCCTGGTGAGGGTTTTGGGGCCGTTTGGGGCGTGATCGTTATGCCGAGCTCTGCCGAGCTCTGCCGAGCGGGCCAGGTCTAGGGGCCGTCTTGAAGCCGTCCTGGGGTTGCCATGGGGCCATTTTTGGAGGTCCTCGGGCCATCTTGGAGCGTGCGCGAGTGTGCCACCAGAGCCTTGTTGATGGGAGTCCTTCTGGGGATGCGAAGCGCGTGAGGGATCGGTCATCGGGTGTTCGGGCCGCGTGTGCGAACGTGCCGCCTGAGGCTTGCGGTCGGGGGCCCTCTGGTGGCGATGTGCGTGAGTGGTGAGCAGCTTTTGGTGGGGTCTGTGTGTGCGAGCGTGCCGCGTGAGGGCAGTGGTGTGGGGCCCCTTTCAGATGGCAACGCGCATGCTGAGGAAGGTGGTTCTAGATGTGGATTGTGTGTGCTTCGTCTCCTTCGTGGGAGCGCAGGCCGGTCCTCGGCTCACTTGCCTTTGCCCACCCAGGCCGCACTTTGCCGCGCTTCCGTGTCCACCTTTCCATTCTGGTAGTGGCTATGTGCTCGTGTGCGTTTCGTACTCAGCATTCTGCCTGCTTGCTCTGGCCCTGGTCGGATTTTTGCCCGCAGCACGTCGGCCCCCTTGAGACATGATCGCGCGGTCGAGCGGTGCCACCTGCGGTTGGTGGTTGGGGTCCGCATGGGGCCGCGAGGCGCGTGAGGGGCGGGCAGCTCTGGGAGCGGGCTGCATGTGCGAATGTGCCGTTGGTTGTGGCGAGCACGTGGGGCGGCGAGATCTGGGCTGGCTGCGCGTGCGAACATTCGAAGAGGATAAACCAGTATAAACATAAGCTTTCGGAGCTCCGCGCGGATTCCTTGGGTCGGCGCCTGGTTGCCCCCCGGCAGCGCCTCCAGTGCACCCCTGGCGCGCTGTGCGTGCCAATGAGGGGGGTCCAGCGCCGACCCAAGAAGTCCGCGCGGAGCTCCGAGAGCTTGTGTGTTATGCAGTTCTTCTTCGTCTGACCATGCCTTGTGCGCATGTCTGTCGTGGGCGGCCCCGTGCGCGAGCGTGCCCCCCTTCCCCCCCCGATCCGATGTCAGAGGTGGGGTCCCAGCGGGGAGGTGCGGCGCTGGAGGGGTGTGCGGTTGCGGGTGCGGATCGCACGTTGGCCAGCATGCCGTTGCGTGGCCCGCGCCCCGTGGGGGAAGCGTGAGGGGCGGGCAGTTCTCGGTGCGGGGTGCGCGGGAGAAGGCGCCGCCGTGCCGCCTGGGGGTATGCGGCTCTGATGCGCTGAGGGATGGGAAACGAGAGTTGGGACAGGAAATCGTGGTGAGGACTGGGATGGCCGTGGTGGTGGGAACTGTGGTAGCGATGAATGGTCGCACGGGCGCGGCACATTGGGAAGGCGGGAGCACGGCGCAGCCATTTGGGATGCGGGGGCACCACTCCGCAGTTGGGCTGGGACTCCCGTGCTCGAGTGTTTCTTGGCGCCCTCCAGGTTCCTCAGCTTGAAGGAGCCAGAGAGGACTGGCTTCATGGCCAGGCTGAGTAGGTCGTGGACGTTCGAGTGCTTTTCGATCCTTGGGATTTCGCTGAACTGCGTGTTCATGATCGTGTCTGCCGATGAAGCTGTCCGTAATTATTGGCGCCCAGATACAACACCCACATTGAAAATCGTGGAGCTGCTTTTCCTCTTTTGGTTTGGGATCGAACTGGGGATCCAGATGTACGTCCACGGGAGGTACTTCTACATATCGCCCAGTTGGAAGTCACGGGTATTGGATACGTTCTTGATCGTATCGTACAGGTCAATACCATTCCGCCGATCTTTCAAACACGGGAATCCCAAGGCTGTCTTGGGTTTCTTCAGGGTGGGGCGAGAAGAGTGGGGACAGGGAGTAGAACGAGAATGAGGACGATGACGAGGAGAAGGATGATGAGGAGGAAGAGCAGGAGGCTGAGGAAGAGGAGGAAGAGGAGCAGGATGAGGAGGAGGAGGAATAGAAGGAGGAGGAAGAGGAGGACCAGTGTAAACTCAAGTCGCATCAACGATATTGCAAGAAACCCTTCCTCCAAGTTCCCTCTTCACAGGCCCCTACAAGGACTGATTTTCACTGACGGAAGTTGCCCGTTGCATAACAACCGTATGAAAACCATGAGTTGAGCCAGAACACCATTCGTGGGGCTCCAACGCCGCGAATCACTCTTACTGTTGCGTCTTGACGAATGTGAACCGTGCCAGATTGCTATTCCTTGGATTTCAACACCACGGCTCAACGTAACTGTTGCGCCCTGACGGTTCGACATCGTGCCAACACATAATCCTTGAGATTGCTGTTAATTCTTGAAACGAATGTGCGCGGCAATGATGCTAGAGCCACATTCTGAAAACGACCCGCCCTCCATCCGTGAAGTTCTGGCACCTTTGTATCACGAATGTGCGCGGCGCTAAGGCGGGAACCACATCTTGGAAACGACCTGCCCTCAATCCGTGGCATCCTTGCAAGCTTTTAACACGAATGTTCGCGGCACTAAGGCGGGAGCCACGTTTTGAAAACGGCCCGGCCTCCACCCGTGAAACCCCTGCACATTTTCAACACGAATACGCACGGCGCTGAGGCGAGAGCCATATTTTGAAAACGACATGCCTTCCATCCGTGAAACTCTTGTCGCACATGGTGAGGACATCTCAGGCGAAACGCCCGGCCAGCCATCTCGACCGGCCTCGGGGTGCGACAGGGAGGAGTTACGCATTCGTAAGGATGAGGGATGGGGGAGGAGGAGTGGCGGCACGTACAAGGGGTTTGGGCGAGGGAGGCAGGCCTTCTAGGAAGGCAGGTGGCCTGTTCGAAGCCCTCTCGCCTTCTGAGAAGCCTTCTTAGAGGCCTCCTCCTGCCTTTATAGAAGGCCGCCCTTGGCACGTTCCCTGGCACGTCCCCTTGCGCGTCCTCTGGCTCGCTCCCCGCCGCGCCTCCTGGCACGTCCCCTGGCGTGTTTCCTGGCACGTCCGCCTGCGCGTCCTCTGGCACATCTGCAGCACGTCCCCTGACACGTCCTCTTGCACGTCCCTTGCCGCGTGCCCTGGCATCTGGCATGTCTCCTGGCGCGTCCCATGGCACGTCCCCTGGGGCGTCGCGCAAGGTGCGTCCCGTGGCGCGTCCCATGGTACGTCCTTTGGCATGTTCCTGAACACGTCACTTGGCGCATCCCCTGGCGCATCCGCTGACGTATTCACTGGAGCCTCCTTTGGCGCGCCCTCTGGCCCGCGGCGCGTCCCCTGGCGCGTCCCCTGGCATGTCCAGTTGGCATGTCCAGTTGGCACGTCCCTTGCCGCATCCATGACACGGCGCCTGGCACGTGAAGTCCCCTGGCTCGTCCCTTGGCACGCCCTCTTGCACATCCCCTTAAGCGCTCCTGGCACGTTCCGAGGCGCGTCCTCTGTGCAGTCTTTCTCTTGACCAGTTAGCGGCAAACCTGTTTCTCCGTGTCCGAAGCCCAAGGTTTCACGGTAGGCCACCTGGCGACCATGAGAGGATTTGGCGACCGCGTGGCGTGAGGCAGGAGGAGGAGGAGGAGGAGGAGGAGGAGGAGGAGGAGGAGGATCGGGCAGGCTTGGGATGGAAGTACACCGCACCAGAGCGTTCCCGAGCACTCTCGGAGTTCTCCGCGGCGCTGTAAACCAGCCGCCGCACCCGACAGACATCTCCTAGACCCGCCAGCTCTCAGAGATGCCCGTCTTCCGAAACTATCCCCTAGACCTCTTCTGGCCGCCATCTCGACATTGGTTTGTTCTTGAGCGTCGGGAGCAATGGGGAGCAAAAGGAGGACTACCAGCCTGAAGCAGATCCCTATCCCCCTGAGTGGCATCACCTTATCTCGCTGTCGACCGTACGGATTCCTTCAGATTTCTGGGGGCGCATCGCCAAGATTGTAACCGCCTTTGGCCTGGTCAATGTTGGGGTTAGGGATACGCTCGAGGTTGGTCAGAGGAGGAGGAGGAGGAGGAGGAGGAGGAGGAGGGAGGAGGTGGAGGAGGAGGAGGAGGAGGAGGGGGAGGGACAAAGACCCGTATGCGGGATTCATCCCCCGCGCTCGGGGTCCCTGGGCCGCGGGGCCGGCGCTGCGCGATGGCGGCACGGCGGGCGACATGAGCTAGGAGGAGTACGAGGCGATCCAGGTGCTCCAGCTACGAGGCCTGCGGGTACATGAGCGTGACGTGCCCGACGGGGCCGCTGCGAGAAACGCGGAAGGGCAGGGACGTTCAACGGAATGATCTATCACTGTTGGTCGCCGCCGTGACGAGCGTGCGAGTTGATGGCGAGCAGACGTACGTACCGAAATGCGACAAGTACGAAAGCACATGCGACAATTTCAAAGCCACGTGCGACACCAGGCGCGACACGGCCGAGCAGCCCTAGGGGGCAAGCACGTACGATTGATTGCAACAAAAACGAAGGATTGCAAAACAAAAAGAAGGATTGCAAAACAACCAAGGATTGCAAAAAAACACGAGTTTCGAGGGCCACCAGCATGCCAGCAGAGTTTCGAGGGCCACCAGCAGGGCTACGACGGCATGGGGCAGAGCTACGACGGCAAGAAGCCTGGCTTCGAGGGCCCCCCGCAGAGCCACCCGGGCCAACAGCAGAGCCTCGAGAGCCACCAGCCGAGCTGCGAGGGCCACGAGCAGAGCCTCGAAAACCACTGGCTGAGCTTCGATGGCCATCGGCAGAGCTTCGAGAACCACCAGGTGAGCCTCGAGGGCCACCAGCAGCGCTTCGACGGCAAGAAGCAGGCGAGGACGAATGCGGCTGGCCCTCGCGGATCCCATCCACCTTAGGTTCTTCCTCCTCTTCCCCTCGTGGCAACAGGAGCGGAGCGCTGCGACCTGGCAGCCGACGGCTCCGACTTGGACCACGGGGAGGCGAAGGATGCAGACGAGGAGGAACCCAAGCAGGCAGACGAGGGGGAGGACTACGAGGAGCACGGCCTGAAAGAAGATGACGACGCAGAGAAGCCCGACGTCTTCGCGACGGCAGCGCTGGCGTTCGAGGTCTTCCTCGCCAGGGGCCGTGCCATCACAAGCCGCACCTACAGGCTACGAGGGCCACCAGTGGAATTCCAGCTGAGCCACGAGGGCCATCAGCCGAGCTACCACGGCCACAACCTGAACTACGCGGGCTACAGGCAGAGCTACGAGAGCCTCCCTCGGAGCTGTCAGGGCGACGAGCTGATCTGCAAGGGCCACCAGCAGAGCTTCGAATGCCACCAGCTCGGCTACGATGGCCACCCGTTGAGCTACGAGGACAACGAGCTGAGCTACGAGAGGTATCGCTGCGACGAGCTGAACTTCAAAACCACGTACATAGCTTCGAGAGTCACCAGCTCAACTACGGGGGGCACCCGCTGAGCTACGAGGGCATCAGGCTGAGCTAGGAGGGCCATGGGCAGAGCTTCGAGAGTCACCAAGCTCAGCTACGAGGGCCACTTTCTGAGCTACGAGGAGAACGTGTTGAGCTACGAGGGCCACCTGCTGAGCGACGACAGCCATTTTCATAATCACGAGGGCCACCAACTGAGTTACGAGGACCACGCGCTGAGCTACGAAGGCTACAAGCCCGGCTACGAAGACCACCAGCCGAGCTACGAGTACCACCAGCTGGGCTACGAGGGCCACCAGGGCCACATTCTGAGCTACGCAGGCTACAGGCAGAGCTACGAGAGCCTCCCGCAGAGCTATCAGGGCGACGGGCTGATCTGCAAGGGCCACCAGCAGAGCTTCGAGAGCTACCGAGCTCAGCCATGATGGCCACTTGCTGAGCTACGAGGGCACAACAATGAACCACGAAGGCCGTCAGCAGAGATTGTAGGGCCACCTGCTGAGCTACGAGAGCTATCAGGGAATCTTCGAGGGCCACAGGCAGAGCCACGTGACGATGGCGCCCGCCGTCAGTGAAAGGACGCACGGCAATCTGTAGTTCCAGACCTACAAGGGGTAGCTCAACCTAAACTCAGCTGGAAGCCCAGGTACGGCAAGACATCGGTCGGATCGGCGACGCTGTACAGGGCAGGTTCGGCAAGATGGAAGACGGCAGTGCTGCGGAACAGCTGGGCGAGACGTCCGCCACGGTCCGTTGGCTGGATGGTGCGATCTGCCTTTTCCAGCGCGCGGCAATCAGAAGAGCGTAGCGGCCTGGACGACCAGGCGATCCCGATTCTCCTCGCGATGACTGCGACCTCCCCCACATTCTACCGTGTCGCCGTCCCGACACATGACGTACACACAATAGGTACACGGTAGACGGTCTGGCTCGTAGCTTGCCTGTCCTTGCGTTTATTTCCCAACCATCCAGTGGTGTTCGGTCTTCGTTTTGAAGAGACGGTCCCCGCGTTCCTCCGTCCGCCCTCCCCCTCCTCCCCTTCCTCCCTCCTCCTTGCGTTTCACCCATTCAGTACAACGCTTCGTGGCCCCATGGAGAGCTCCACCGAAGCCCCCACTGGGACCGCCCGCGTGCGTCCCGGAAACCCAATATGGCACACCCCTCACACGTTTCGTGGCCCCATCGGGAGCTCCACCGAAGGCCCCAATGCTACCCCCCACATGCGTCCCGAAGGCCCAAACTGGCACACCCCTCACACATTTCGGGGCCCCATAGGGAACTCCACCGAAGGCCCCAGTGCCACCGCACGCATGCTTCCCGAACACCCATTTTGGCATACTCTTCACACGTTTCGTGGCCCCATCAGGAGCTCCATTGAAACCCCCAGTGGGGCCGCCCGCATGCGTCCCGAAAGTTTAATTTGGCACAC